CCCTGACCTGACTCACCTGACAAAGCAGGAAACAGTTTGTTCTTCTTCGTCACTACAGAGACACAGAGTGAGAAGCAGACGATCAGATTCACCTTCAGACCAAACTAACAGCTTCCTCTGAGTGAGTCCAGCTACAGGAGAGAAAAGTGGGAACTCCAAGACTGCTGCTTCAACCTGTGGACACACACTGAATGTGAGTCTGACAACAACACAAAGTGAAAGTACATTTCAGTAACGTTAGTGGGGTAGTGGGGGGAGGGGAGCCATGACTGACTGTACTTTGTATCTGCTGTGACTTCAGCTGCACTCAGAGACTAAATGGCTTCCAGACTAGAGGAGGATCTCTGCTGTCCGGTCTGTCAGGACGTCTTTAAAGATCCTGTTGTTCTGTCATGCAGCCACAGCTTCTGTAAAGACTGTCTGCAGAGCTGGTGGACAGAGAAAGGACATCGTGAGTGTCCAGTTTGTAAGAGAACATCTTCAATGGAACTTCTACCTTCCGACTTTTCTTTAAAGCACCTGTGTGACTCCATACAGAGAGAGAGAGTGATAGAGAGAGTGATAGAGAGAGTGATAGTGAGAGTGATAGTGATAGTGATAGTGAGAGTGATAGTGAGAGTGATAGTGATAGAGAGAGAGAGAGAGGCAGAACAGTTTTAATTAAGTGAAAACAAAGGAAGAAGTGAGTGTGTATGTAGGAATTACAGTAGTATAGGTAGTATAAGAGTCCAGCAGCGCCTCCTGCTGGAGGATCCACAGCTGCCCTCAGGAGCTCTGATAGACCAGGCCAAACACCTGGGCAACCTGGCCTTCAACATCTGGAACAAGATGAAGGACATGGTCTCCTACACTCCTGTGGTCCTGGATCCAGACACTGCTGGTCGAGAACTCATCCTGTCTGAAGATCTGACCAGTGTGAGAAAAGGAGATGAACAGCAGCTTCCTGACAATCCAGAGAGGTTTGATGATTATGTCTGGTCTGTCCTGGGCTCTGAGGGCTTTAACTCAGGGACTCACAGCTGGGAGGTCGAGGTTGGAGACAATAAACACTGGGGACTGGGTGTGTTAGCAGAGTCTGTCCAGAGGAAGGAAGACATAGAGTCTGGATTATGGATAATATGGTTCTTTGTAGGTCAATACACAGCATTCTCTCCATCACATCCTGACACTGTTCTCTCAGTGGAGAAGAAGTCCCAGAGGATCAGAGTGAATCTGGACTGGAGCAGAGGAAAGCTGTTGTTCTCTGATCCTGACACTAACACACACATACACACCTTCACACACACTTTCACTGACACACTGTTTCCTTTGGGGATGACGTCCCAGTGAAGATATCACCAGTGAAGGTCTGTGTGACAGTGGAACAGAGCAGTAAGAGAAAAAGAGGACGATTATATTTATAACTTGTTTATGTGTGAAGAGAAAAAGTCACTGACTTTAACCTGTTAAACTCCACCTGTCCTCCTGCTTCTCATTGTTATGATGCTGTGTTTAGTTGGGTTTTACTTCTCGCTGCTTGTTGTTTCTTTTTTCTTCTTTTTTCGTTTCACTATTTGCTTTTTGTTTCTATTGTCAATATTTGGAAATGGAAATGCTCATGTACAAGTACATGTAAGTACAGTGCCTGAGTCAATGTTCTTACTTTCCACCACTGGAGGAAACAGTTTAATCCGTCTTTGAAGTTACTTAAAGCTACAGTTTGTAACTTTGTCCTAAAAACTGTTGTTGTAGAAATGTGCTCCAGAACTTGTCCTAATGTGGAGAGGAGCTGTCGAAGCCTCCTGGGACCCAGACTCACTGACCAGCGCCGGCAGCAGTGCAGAGATATTAGCTTCTAAAGGTTTAGAGCAGCACTGACCTCCTACCTTACTAACAAAGCACATTTCTGTTCAGTCCAGCTGGGCAGTGGCTCAGAAGTCAAAGCTCATTCTCATTAAAAACTTAACAACACAAGTTGCTCAAGGTTTTGTTTGAAAAGTTCTGTCTGACCTGATGCAGAACTGTGGGACCCAGTTCCCTGCACTGGAAACCAGTTTGATGATGTGACTTGATTCTGCAAACATTTCACACATCGACCAAGTGTCAAGTGTTTCAAACAGATCAACTTAATCATTTCCATAAATAGTGAAGCTGATTCTGTGGGATGTAAAGGAACAGCTGCAACTAATGATCAGTTCATCTGCTGGTTATTTGTTCAATGCACTGATTATTTATTGGTTAAATATCAGAAAATGGTCAAATGGTCTGTTAAACCTCCCACAGACCAAAGTCACGTCTCCTCATCACCTCATCTCCTCTGACTGGTCCGACTCGAGGCTCTAAGGATCTACACTGGACTGACTGTGAAGCTGCTGGAGTCACATTTGAGCTTTGTGACACTGAGCTTTACAAAGTTAATCATTGAGGAAGTGAAGCAACAGATTAAAATCAGACACACAAGACCGTTAGAAACGTCAAGATGTTACTGACGTGGTGAAGAGCGCTCCCTGCACACTCTTTCCTTCCACCCTTGATGTTGACCTCATCGTTTCAGCAGCACCAGGTGAGTTTATGGTGACAAGGTGGAGACTGTGGTGCCAACACGTCTGAAGAACCATTAATTTAGGGACCGACTCAGAGGATCAGATGGAAGATCTGTTTTTATTGTTTACTGAAACAAAGTAAGACATTAACAAAACAGGACCAAACAACAGATACATGACATTACAAAAAGATGTAGTGTTTTACAACTGGGAGGGGGGGGAGATAAATAAAACATCAATAAGTTGAAAT